TGCTCAAGCAAGGTTACCACTCAAGTATTGGGACTTTGCTTGCCTAACTGCAGCATTTCTAATCAATAGAATGCCCACTGTTGTCTTGGATATGAAGTCCCCATTGTCCATACTCTACAAACAACTTCCTGATTACAAGTTTTGGAAACTTTTTGGTTGTGCCTGCTATCATCAACAAAGGTTACAAATGTCTTGCAACCAATGGGAGGATTTAGATCCAAAGGATGTTCTCACCAATGAAGTAAGGTTTCCCTACCCTCGCCTATTTCCTTTTGCTCATATTAACCTTGTTCCCAACTCCAACCAACCATCCACAACATCCATCTTTCCAATCAAAACAAACCAAACTCATAATGTCACTTCTTCACCTTCCACGTCTCATTCAATTGAACCATAATTGTCCAACTCATCTTCTTCCAATTCCACAACCGAAATGTCTCTACCTCAATCTCCTCATCCTTCCACATCATCTCAACATCCTCAAACACAATTATTCAACCCACATTCTTCCAACTCTACAACACAATCATCTCATACTTCATCTTCAAATCAATGTTCCATAACACATTCCTCATCTAGTTCTGCCCATTCTCTATCCATGCCTTCATCACACTCCCAAGATTCTGACCATACTCCCATCACCTCAACTAACTCACAAAATTATGATGCCTCATCTAATACACAACCAACATCTACTATTGAATTTGTGCCTTTACCTATCCTTCATCCCAATAATACTCATCCCAAGGCCACAAGAAGAAAATGTGGTATTGTGCAGCCAAGTCTTCATCCCACTCTACTTCTTACCAAGGTAGAACCAACCTCCTACAAGGTTGCACTCAAATGCCCTCACTGGCTTGCTACTATGACACTAATGAGCATGAGGCTCTGCTCAACAACCACACTAGGATCTTAACTACTCTGCCTCCCAAAAGACAGGCTATTGGGTGCAAATGGGTCTTTAGGATCAAACAAAATCCTAATGGCACTCTAAACAAATACAAAGCCAAGTTGGTGGCAAAAGGGTTCCACCAACATGGCTTTGATTTCACTAAAATATTTTCTCCTGTGGTAAAACTAGTTACAGTCAGGGTTGTACTCACTCTAGCAATATCCAAAAGATGATTCATCCCTCAGTTAAATGTTAATAATGCCTTCATCAATGGTATCCTTAAGGAAGAGGTTCATATGAACCAACCACCAGGATTTAAACATGTTGCCAAACAGTTAATATGCAAACTCAACAAAGCCATTTATGACTTGAAACAGGCACCTATAGCCTAGTTTGAAAGGCTCAATTGTGCCCTTAAGAGCTTTGATTTTAGTTCCAGCAAATGTGATCCTTCACTATTCACATTAATTACTCAAACTTACACTATTGTAATGCTGCTTTATGTTGATGACTTAGTTGTCACTGATAGCTCTCAGCCTCACATCAAAGCACTCATAAACAAACTCAATGATCAATTCGCTCTTAAGCAGTTGGGAAATCTTGAGTACTTCTTAGGGATAAAGGTCAGCCAACAACCTGATGTATCTTTATTTCTCTCTCAAGCCATATATCTAAGGGACTTACTAAAACCAATTTTTCAGAAGCAAAAGGAATGCTAACTTCTATGATCTCAAGCTTGAAACTCTCAAGGGATGGCTCTGACTATCTCAATGATTCAACTTTCTACAGTTCCATAGTAGGAGCTCTGCAATATGCCACAATTACAAGGCCTGAAATTAGCTTTGCAGTGAACAAAGATTGCCAGTTCCTATCTCAGCCTCTAGAAGGTCAGGACTTTAGTAAAAAGAATCCCCTGATACTTAAGAGGATCCTTAAACCATGGTCTGTTGCTTAAACCAACATCCAATTTCATGCCTCTCTATCAAAGCATTCTCAGATGTTGACCAGGGCTGAGATCCAGATGATAGAAAATCTACCTCTGGATCATGCATTTATCAGCCCCAATCTGCTCTCTTGGTGGTCCAAGAAGCAATCCATGTTGCAAGGTCTAGCACAGAGGCAGAGTACAGAAGTTTTGCTAATACTGCCTAAGAAGTCCTATGGATTGAGTCCCTCTTCAAAGAACTTCAGGTTCCTTGCACCACTCCCAGCTTGCTCTGTGACAACCTAAGCATAATGTCTCTCACACCCAGCCCTTCATGCCAAGACTAAGCATATGGAATTGGATATTTTCCTTCTCATGGAAAAAGTGATTAGTAATAACCTAAGGGTTCTCCATATTACTGCTACATATCAGTATGCAGACACACTAACCAAACCACTCTCTCCTTTAAGATTTCTACAACTCAGAGACAAGCTTCAACTCTTGGACGGGTGAACTCTCTCTCAAGAGATGACCCCGCATTTGAAGGGAAGCTAATAAAGAATAGGGTAGTAACAGTTCTAAATAAAAACTTGGTGTAACAAAATGAGATAACTATTCCTTTGTAATAATTAACTGTGCTGAGTCAGCATCAGTTAATTGTAAGTAATTTCATATCATAATTGAAATTCAGTTAGAAAAGAAAACATAATGGATTCAATCCTCTCTCTCTTCTTCCATTTCTCTCTTTCTAACAGGTATCTATCTCTTTTCTACAAATAAGATTTTTTTGTGCATTCCAGATGCTTGTCCATCTAAGAATGAGAGAGTGAGATTGCAACATGAAATGTCAAACTCAATATTTTCTGCATCCGACAAGCTAATTTGGGTTTTAAGATCTCAGTCCTCCCAATATGGATTTAATTAACAGAAAATAATATTAATATAAAACTTGCCGGTTAATTTTCTATAGATGAATTTGACATCAATTTGGTCCTCCAAATATTTTAAGTGGCATAAAAATGCTTCTTCCATCAAGCCCCGTGAGACATCAATTTGAATCATTTCAAAGTAATTATTTTATATCACAAATCATTGAGAAATCAAATTGGCATCAATTGTGTAATTTGACAACCAAAATGGTACTTTGGTCTAAAGAATAATTTCTATGATAATATGCTCTCTCCCATATCCTCATTTTTAGAAAACTTACAATATTTTGTGTCCATACCTATACTGATATGGGTACAAATCTGTCTTTATGCAACATAGAGATATAGCAAGGTATTACCAAATGAAGTTGAAACTTACTTCCTGAAGATGCTTTTCAAGAGATTTAAGCTTTGAATCTTGCTCCCCGTGGTCACGATTTAAATCAGATCTCATTTCTCCAATAGATTTGTCAAGATTGTAGCAATATAACTCCAACTGTGAGAGCCTTGAACTAATTCCCTCGAGAAATCGCATGAGGTTGTCCGCATATTTCTTCATACTCTTCTCCACAGTTGCAATCACATCTTGGCTTAAAGAATCTTCAGGTGGATTATAGGCAGTAACAGGAAAAACAGATGTCCTTGCTACCCTTGATTTGTGAAAATCCTGCCAAACAGTATGTCGTGTTGATATTTAAAATGGTCAGGAATACACATAAGTTACCGCTTGTATGCAAAAACAAAAAGACCTAGAAATAAGCATTTAACCTCAATACACACGAATCACAAACAAATAATAATTATAATTCCTAAAAATGGTAAATTTTATAAACCCTAACCCCTTTTCGTTTTAGCGAGTCAACGGCGGAATCAGGAAAAGAAAAAGGAATCTAAATACCGTGGTTGAAGTAGGGGCGATTACAGAATCGTTGTGATTGCCATTGGAATTGGAATCCCTGTTGGAAAAGTCTTCGTAGGAGCATAAGATGTCATCAGAAGCAAAATCAAAGCCTTTAGAATCGGGGTTACCGCGACCAGACGATCCAGAAGCCATGAACGGAGTTTGAAGATGCGAAAGAAGAATTCAGTGATGAGAGAAAGGGAGAGAGAGGGAGTTGTGTAGTATTGTAAGGGAAGATAGATGTTTTCCTACTTTCTTTTCTTCTCTGGCGTTACTTCGCTTTTCCGCAAAACCGAGTCCCAGTGCCCAAATATAAATAAATAAATAAAATTTACTAATTCAGTTATGTTAATATTAGTATTTTAAAATAAAAATATTTTTTTTATACATAATTGTAATTAGTTGATAGGATAAAATATTTTACATTATCATCAGTATATTTTATTTTTTTTCTCTATATTTAAACACAAAACTATCAACAAATCGGGTGTTAGTGTCGGAGGAGTTATCGATTCGTAATTGTTATTCATAAAGAAAGAAATATGATTTATGTTATAATGAAATCATTATAAATATATAAAAGTTAAATATTTGAAAATACCACGTATAACTTTTTAACTTTCTAATATATTACATTTGTATAACTTTTTAATTTTCTAATATATTACATCTGTTTTAAAATGAAAGTCTTTTAAGATTGTTACACATAAATTGAAAAAAGTAATGATTGAATACATAAATATATCAATTTTACAAAACTACCATTAATTACTATTGGTTATTGTATATTGTCGTAAATGTATGGATGATTTGATACCTTATTAGTAGTGTGGACAATATTTATTAAGAATAAAGTTAGTAAAATTTAATTAATTATGCATTGAAAAAGTAAAAAAAAAATTATTTTAGAACAAATCTTTTAAGCTAAAGAGATATTTATTTTGAGACTGAGAGAGTAACTTTTTTTATTTTAAAATTAAAGCGGATTATTTGAACCCTAGCTCCAACCACATTTGTTTAACATTTAATATTGCTTATGTGGTCATGCTATTAAATTTTTGAAATAATTTTGAGTTAATTTTGTATTAATTTATACTTATTTGGTTAAATGAAAAGCGTCTCTTTGAGAATTGAGAAGTTACTTGGGAAACAACACTTTTATTTGAATTTTTTGAAGAATGAAATGTCACTAACACTTATTAATTCTCTAACTGTATTAGTCGTCTTTATCTCTCTATTATATTTTTTTTCCTTTTTCATCTTCTTTTTTCTTTCTCTTTCTCCAATCATTGATATCACTCTTTTCTTTCTCAACGAATGTTTCTTTCTTTCTCTCAAATACTTCAAGATCTTCTCCCTTTATCACTCAAAAAATACAAATAAAATCAATTTAAACTCAAACAAACACAAAATCAAATCAAGGAAGAATAAGTTTTTACTGTGTATGTGTTAGCTCACAAATTCGACGCACATATTAGAATAAAATATTTTGGATAAAATATTAAACTCTTGAAAAAATGTGGAAGACTTCGAGTGAGGAGACCTTCGAGTAGGCTGGGTTATTCAAGCATTTGGGACTTAGAGAAAATTTATGAATATTGAAGATACTACCTTCGACCGAGGTTGTTGGCTGAGTATTAGTGGAGTTTTGAAATTCAAAAAAGGGAGGGAGTAGTTATGCTATCTCATGACTAAGTATGACAAATGGCGCTCATCTAGCAAGTGGCTATATGCAATAGGACACTTGTCGTAGGCTGGTGATTTTAGGAGGTTAATGGCAGTTAGTTTTACTATTATAAATAAGAGTTTTAGCCATAGAATTCAGTGTGTTGTAATTTACTATTTGTACAAGTCACTCTCAAATTACTCAAAGTACCTGAGTGTAGAGAAACGAGTTCTAGGAGAATGTACGTCATGTAAACAAATCATCTTTACTTTCAATGAAATTTATTTCACTTGCTTAATTTTAAAAAGTTTATCTTTATTTTCTTGCAATTTACATCTTCCATGCATCTTTGCTTTACTTTGTTAAATGCTTTTAAAAGTTCTTTACTTTGTTTTCTTCAAATTTACATCCTTTCGTTTCAATCGAGCTTTGCATCTGCATTAAACTTTTTCCTTAAGACATTGTTGAAGTGTGTAGTTTAGATAACTTATTTCACATAAAATTTAGCACATGTCCTAAGATTAATCTGATCGATCCTGTGAGTCACCAAAGTTAGATTTGGAAGATCAGCGGTTGTTTTCCAATTTTCACGGGAAACAAATTGGCACGGCCAGTGGGACTATTCTAAAAGATCTTGTGAATTTTTGTAAAAAAGTTTGCTAAACTACAGTGTTAATTTGTCTTTGATAAAACTTTGTCATATGTTATTAAGAAGTGGCAAGATAGCTGCTACAAACAAAGAAAGACCAAGGAAAAATTACACAAGGGATATGGCGACGAACACAAATCAGCCAAATAACCCAAACCTTCGAGGAGATGGTTCTAATCTTCATCCTAGCAATACCAATCCCCATGATGGGTTTAGGAATGATGTAGTTCCACCCTCAATACCTTCGATTAGAGAGCAGATAGCGCCTCCTATGAGACCTGAACCAGTGCCATTAGTATTGGGTTAGGATCAATAACCAATGGGGCCTACACCCAGCTTGTGTTGGAGTATATTGGACCTTAAGCGTCGAATCCCCAAACTCCACTAGGAGTAAATTCGACGTCCAGACAGTTTGTCCTCCCAGGGTTTTCACAACTATTACCAAGAAACCCACTGTATGGAATGCCAAGGACAGTAATGCAAGGCCTCTAGAATGCTCCCCTAATATTCTCAGACAATGTGATTACTTTACCATTATAAGGATCAGGGTCTGGGGTAAACATTGGTTGAAACAACCAAAGTTTAGGTGTGGGGTATTACACTCAGGGCCCTAACCTAACCAATACTTCAATAGCTTGCTTGAGACAGCAAATGGATGAGAGCAACTTGCAAATGGTCCAAACCTTATCCCGAACTATGGGACAAATCTTTCAACCTCTGATCCAAAATACCACTCAGACTAACCAACAGTTAATAGTGCAATTGACATGGCTGGCAGAATTTATGGGTGTGTCAGCCACTGTCAGAAACATAGCTACTGTGGAAAACATTCCACGACAGGACTTAGGAAATGCACCTGAGGCCAATTTAGAGAATCAAGGGAGGGTCGAACTCCCTAGACTCGAACCACACACGGTCGAACCACAAAGGGCCCAAATGCCAATCCTGGTAGAAAGAGGCCCAGAGGTAATCATGGTAAATCGAAACCAAGATGCAGACAATGTCATCCAATAGGTTCGACGTAATAACACGGTCGTTGACAATAACTTAACAGCCATGGTCGAAAGAATAATGGCTCGAAATAGGGTAAACTATGGTTTCACTAGGCCAAATTATATGTCCTCTAATAGTAGATTATATTCTCCAGTCAGAGTTACCTCCCAGGACAAATGTGCCTAAATTCACAAAATTTTCAAGAGACGCGACGGAGTCTACTGTCAAACATGTGGCTCGTTATATGATCGAAGCCGGAGAAATTGCTAATGATGAGAGCCTTAGGATAAAATACTTCCCCAGTTCTCTCACTAAAAATGCTTTCACTTGGTTTACAACTTTGCCCCCTAACTCAGTTTGTAATTAGACTCAGTTGGAACGTTTATTCCATGAATAGTTCTATATGGGGCAAACCAAAATTAGCTTAAAGGAATTGGCTAGTATAAAACGTAAGTTTTCTGAGCCAATAGAAGAGTATCTAAATAGGTTTCGACTACTCAAGGTTGGGTGTTTTACTCAAGTACTTGAACACGAGTTAGTCGAAATGGTCGCTGGTGGCCTCGATTACTCTATTAGAAAGAAGTTAGACACCCAATATCTGAGAGATATGGCCCAACTAGCTGACAGGGTTCGACAACTAGCGCGTCTTAAAGACGAAAAGGCCAAATTCAATAAGAGTAAGAAAGTAGCTTATGTCGAATATAACGAAAATATCAAAGGTGTACATGAGGAATCATTATACTTCGACGAAAATGAAATTGATGTTACTGAATTAAAATAGGGTCCTCCTTACGCTTGTAAAGTATTGGCTCCCCCACATGGGAAAAGTTTTGTCGAATCGGAAAAGAACGAAAAATTCCCAAAGAAAACATACACTTTCGATATCACTAAATGTGGCGAAATTTTTTATTTGTTAATTAAGGATGGGAAAATGATAGTGCCACCAGGCGCTAAAATTCCACCTTTAGAACAAAGGAAAAAGAGAAGGTTTTTTAAATACCATAATTTTTTGGGTCATAAAACATCTCAGTGTTTTCTTTTCAGGGATCTGGTTCAAAATGATATCCAATAGGGAAGATTAAAGTTTGGAAAGAAAACCAATAGCCAGATGAAAGTCGACACTAGTCCACTACAAGTGGTAGACGCCCACTATACGGAGCCCACAGAGGCACATATGGTCGAAGTTGCTGATGGCTTTGATTTCTCAATCAACATGGTGGAGATCACTGAGGATCTTGTCAATGAAGCTGTACTAACCAAGGTCATTATGGGCTTCGAGCATGATACCCCAAAAACACTCACGAAGGAGATTGCTGAAGGCCTCGACAAGAGTATTGATAACTCAAGTGAAAAGGATACAAAGGGTTCCAGCCTGATACTGTTAACCAAAGAAGCTGCTGGTGGTTTCATCAAGATGGATCAAGCCACTGAAGGCCTTGAGTCAGACCTCCATAAGCTAAACCTGAAGGAGGACGTCGACATGGATGTGAATATGGTGGAGATAACAGAATGGCCTATCCAAGACATGAGGAGACCATCGTTGATTTCCTCCATCGTTGCCAGAAGAAGGGGTCTGGTGTCATGTTGTGCCCCAGATATATTGCAATCTTCGACCTGAAGGATACCCAGAAACTCGAGGGGACACGAAAGACAAAACAGAAGTGGGAGAGGCCCAACTTAGGCCCTCAAAACAGTGACCCAAGAAAATTTGAGCCAAACACTAGAGCCGTAAGGGCCAGGTCTGCTACCTTTAAGCCATTTGCTGAGATTTCTAATGGCAAGTGGGTCAGACCTAATGAGGACATACAAAAGGGACAACAGAGTTCCAATCCTCTACGACTGCAC